CGACAGAAGATCAAAAAAAGGACCATTTGTGGAAAGGTACCCTTAAAAAAAGGACTACGGGGGTAATATTTGACAATAGAGGACTAAATATGGAAACCCCCCTGTTATAAAGGACCAATTATGTAATTTACTCTCATTCTTAACATCCAATAGTATCCGAATTTGATACACCCTCCATCCCATTTGAATATTTCTAGTACGTATTACGATGCTTGGCCAACTCTATTTTTAATTCAATTTATTTGATTGTAGGTGTAAAATTTAAAAATAAAAATTATATATTAAAAAGATTAATAAAAAAATTTACAAAACTATAGATGCCAAGATTACATTCTATTATTAAACGAGAAATGAAAATAATGAATCAAAATATATAAAATTTGACCATGTGAATAGTATACATAAAGATTCAAATAGGATTGGGGAGTATGCAGATGATAAATTAAATAAGGAGTATGCTACACTTACACCAAAAATTATACCCCATTTGTACACAACAGTTATACACAAATATTTTGATGGTTTACACCGACACAAGTGTTGGTACGTTAACAAAAATTTACACGGACACAAAGTGTTGGTGCGTTAACAAAAATTAGTTTTACACCAACATAAAATGTTGGTGTAAACCTGCGGGGTACAAATTGGGGTATAAATGTTGGGGTACACATAGATACAAAAATGGTAATGACATGGGAGAAAAAACAAAATAGCACTCTTAGAGCATTAAAATACTCTAAATAGAAGTGCTATTTGTTTCATACATGTGATTCTGATTTTTTCCTTTAATTAAACAACAAATGTTCATTACGCACTGCCAAAAAATATGATTGTTTTGGGCAGTGTGGTTGTTCACTTGTAACTATGTAGTAGGCAGTGTGGTTTTTTATATGTCAGTATTTAATGTGGCAGTGTAAAATAGATATATGTTGTTATATCTTATGTTAGTGTGTAAGTGTATTATTGTGTTCCTTAATTTCATGTTGGAGTGCAATGTCCATTGACTTATGTAGCAGTGTTTTCATGTATAAATTCTACACCTTCAAAAAGTGTATGACTGTTTTCATGTTTCAATTCAACTCTGTCCAAAAAATGTATAGCTCTTTTTATGTATGAATTCCACTCTATTTTCATGTATGAATTCCACATTGCCAAAAATGTGTATGACTGTTTTCATGTATGAATTGTACACTGCCCAAAAATATATGACTGATTTCATGAATAATCAATTACAGCAAAACACATTGGCCAAACATGGGCTTGGCTTTTTTTGGTCTTTCTTGATTTTGTATAATGTTAGAAGATTTTAGTATTAGACATGTGTCGAATTTTATTTATGTGGTACTGAAAAGAAATAGATAATGGAAGGTATTATGTTGTAAATTTTAAGACTTTGTAAGCAGCATACACTGCAACATTATGCAGAATTGTGCAACATAGCACACTGGCTAAAACATATGACATAATACACTGCAAAAAAGTACACCTAGATCACAAGCATTCCACACTGCCAAAAATCTTTGAGCTTACACTTCATACTTTGTTTATTAAAGTTATTCAAGCACTAGTCATTTTGGTGATTTTTTTGTATCCACTTCCAATGGAACTCAATGAATAATTTATTACACTGGGATTTTTAGATATAAATCCAATTTGACCAAAACGCACTAGGCAAACATTGTAACACCCCACCCTGGATGACCCGAATCATCCAGACTAGAATGCTAGTAAAACCGGGTTACTTTGTAAAATATCACTTTTTTCGAAATATATTCTCCTTTTGATAGCTAAAGAGAATTTTAAAAAAAACGTTTTCTGCATAAACTTTAAGTAAAACATCCATAGTTAATACAACCTTGGGTTTAAGCTCAAAGAGTAAAATTAAGTTCGACGTTTTATTCAATATTAAATATTAAAAAGGAACTTCTTCGGCACGGCCTCCACGTCCATGCTTTCCTCCTAAGCAGTTGTTTTCCTTGCTAGTACCTGCGTGCAGTTAAACACTACACGCTCAGCAAAAGCTGAGTGGCAAATAACAAATAGACATATATATAACATGTAAATATATTTTTGGGCATTTTAAGTTATTCATGTTTTATGAGCTTTTTGCATAATTAAAATCATTAAGTAAATAATCTCACTTTGAAAAGTTATTTAGAAAATACTTGACCTACTAGGTTAACCCTTTACTAGAGACTAAGCCGTGACTAGGCTGGAACACCGCACTAGTCGATTCGTAGTTTTACTTCGGATACCTCCCCGTGACCTCGGGTCCAGTAATCAGAAGTGAACCCTAGACCCACGGGGTCATTGTTGGATTCTCGTGCACACGTTGTGGTATGATTATTTGTAGGCTCATCCACTTGGACACATACGATCCAGCCTTATAACGTGTGGTTAAACCACTTGGTAAACGTGACAATACCTGGTCAGGGTATGTCGTTATTTTAACTCTGAAGCTTTTACTTCGTCCACTAGCTATTTTGGTTAACTCTAGTATGTCATTTAAATAAATCACTTTTTATGCCTCCAAGCATAAATCATTTCGGAAAAAAAAAATTACTCGAACCACATCTCCTTCTTTCAAAATATTTTACTGTTGCATGGCCAATAAGTCCTTACTTACTGCCTACTTAGGCCTCGAAGGTGTATTAGTTCATACCCACATATTTGTTGACCAAACATCACTGTTTATAACATCTAGGACAAAAACACAACAAACTTATTTACTTAATCATGCTTGCATTCGGTTCCATATAAAACACATATTTCTTAAAATAATAAAATGGTAATACTAATAATAGTAATATTAATAATAATATACAGAACCGAAAAAGTGTTATGTACCAAAAGGTTAAGTTCAGTCATGTCCATGTACTTGTGTGTATGTATTAATGTGCAGAGCTACACATCTGTGTTAGATTTTTTTTTTACCCTTTGGATTAAAAAAAACAAATTAACCGTACTTATTCACAAATCATTCAAACATATTTATTTGGTTAAAAGTATATTAACATACATATACTATGTATACGTGAATTGATATGCTCTATTTTTCCATGAATTCCACTACTGCCGTATATATTAATCATTATAACAACCAATCATTTTTCCTTACCTTCGGTTATGATAATATTTTTTTTATATAAAAAAAAAAGTACTAATGATAATAATAACAACAACAATAATGATGATAATATATTTTTGATTATTATGATTCTTATCTTTCTCTTTTAATTTATTATCTAAAAGAGTAAATTCAGGTTTTAATTAAATGAAAGGAAAGTGCACAAAATATATTAACATGAAATATATATCTAAAGGTTAGGGTCAACGGCACACCTCGTAAGTCCACAGTTTCGACGGGGCAACAAGATGACACCTTCCTGCTTCTCCTCCCCGAAGCAACCCTCCTATCTCTATCTATGTTTTTTTTATTATTATTATTTGTTTTTTTTACCTTGTCCCTCCATGACTAGCTAGTATTTATACTAAGGGATGGAAGTGTGTGGAATGGTGGAGGGAGATGAAGAGTTAAACATGTGGGGAAATAGAAACAATTAAATGAGTGAAGAAAACAATGTGGGTGGCGTGAGAAACAAAGGGAAAAAAAGTTTTCTTGGTCCGTTGGTTTAATACTACGTGATCGATTTCCACAGTTTTGATTATTATATATTTTTGGAAAAAAAAATAAAACTTATACCGTTAAGTCCCATATTTCCCACACATCATTTTAACATAATTTGTTTCTCAAGAAAATAAATTACTTTATCAGAATAATTTTATTTAGNGTTCACTTTACTCCTTTTATTTATCCTCTCTATTAATTCACTCATTAAAGCTTAACTTTTAATATTTTTTTTCCAAAAAAATAGTAACATATTACTTTATTATATTTTTTTAAAACATAAATTTATTATTATATTTTTTTCTTTGTACTAGAAAGTTAAAATTTTTAGACCGGTTTTCAGGGCGTTACAAACATGGTCATATGACATTTCCAAAAAGTGTAGCTAGAAGTTGATTATTCCACACTGTCAAAAAAATAACAGCCCCCTATTCAGTAACACGTTTTCATAACGATTCTTGAATGTTCAAACCCAATAGTCATAGAACGAAGCAAATGGCTTTTGCACAATATGAAACTCAATTCATAATTCATAACATTGGCAATTTTATATGTATGTCTAATTTCACTCCCATATTATTAATGGAAGTTAAAGAAGTACATACAAATTTGTTTAGGCCGCAAACTTTTATACACTGCCATATTTGCACTCTTGTCTGCCATATTATATATAGAAGACAAATTCACTGCCAGAAAGTGTTTGCAGAACATGATCAATCCGTACTGCCCAAATATTTACAGCCACCATATTGGGTAACACATTTCATAACAATCTCTTTCATGATAAAACCCCATTGTCATAAAATCAACCACAAGCTGTTTGCACAAAATGAAAGTCAAATAATAATTTATAACATTGGTAGTTTTATATGTAAGTTCCATTGTCACCACTTCTTTATAGAATTTTTTATGTAGTTTTTAATATATAGTTCATATTTTTTAATTATACACCGATTTTTACTTATATTGATTTAAAAGTATCTTCAATCAAACATCGTAAATCGAATAAGAGCCTTATTTTGGGATGAAGAAAGTATTCATAATTGACATATTTTTATGATATAATTTTGATATATCGTATTTTTATTATATATATTTATTCAAAACTACATTTAATTGATCGAAGAAAGAATTTGATAGAAAAGAGTACTATGCCACTATGCACAAAGTATACATTATGTGAGTCCGAATTTGATATAAGAGTTGAAAGAGGAATAGAAATAATTGATAGTGGGATAGATAAAAGGAATTGACAACATAAAGAGTATTATTGGAAGAGATTGACAACATAAATACTCCGTAGCTAATTTGGTGAAAAACAATAAGCACTGCTAAATGCGTAGTACTCCGTATTACATGAGTTAGAGTGTTGCGTAGGGCGATTTCTTTGAACACAAATATGAGATTACACATTTACACCCCTATTTAAACTGGAGAGAGTTTGAAATTTGCCTTCTCCCCCTCTCCGTTTGCCAGGCTTCACTTTCCAACCATGTTGTCGACCATTGGCAGGAGAAGCATTCATCCCTTCTGCACATTACTCTTCAGCATTCGTCTTTCTCACCGACCTTACCATCACATAATTTCTCAAAGCATCCCTTTATCTCCACCGCCGACCACCGCCGTCCACCGGTCTCGGCTCTCCACATCCGCATCTCTTTCCGACCAACTCCAAACCCAATCAATCCCTCAAAGCTCAGACCCGTCTTCTCTTTCGTGTTCCTCTTCTCACCTCGTCAACGACCTCTCTAGGATTCTCAGCGACTTCAGGAGTCCGCATCACGATATCGAGTCAGCCCTCTGTCCATTTGGCTCCCAAATCTCCAGCGATCTTGTTGAACAAGTGCTCAAACGGTGCAAAAATTTAGGGTTTTCCGCTCACAGATTCTTCATCTGGGCTCAGAGGCTACCTGGTTTCAAGCACAGTGAAGATAGCTATCGCATTCTAGTGGACATCTTAGGACGTAGCAAGCAGTTTCCGTTGCTATGGGATTTTCTCATGGAAATGAGAGACAACACATCTTGCAAAACCACTCCACATATATTCTCCATTGTGATCAGGGCTTATTGCAGGGCTAATCTTCCTGCTGATGCCATAAGGGCATTTTGCAAGATGGCCGATTTTGGAATTGAACCGAGTGTAGACGATCTCGGGCACCTTGTGTACGCTTTGTGCAAAAGAAAGCAGACAGAACATGCCCAGCAATTCTTTGACAGAGTTAAGGGGAGTTACCCACCCTGCCCAAAATGTTATAGCATTTTGATCAGGGGTTGGGGAGAGTTGGGGAAACTTCCTCAGGCACAGAAGCTGTTTGATGAAATGAATCAGAGAGGGTGTTCTGCTCATTTGCCCGCTTGGAATGCTCTCTTGGAGTCTCTATGCAAAGTAGGTCAGCTGAATGAGGCTTATACATTCTTCAAGAAGATGAGGTCTATGGGAATGGAACCGGATGCTTTTACCTACTCCATATTCATCCATTCTCATTGCAACTCAAATGATCTTCATTCTGCTTTCAAGGTTCTTGCTAGGATGAAGAGGTATGATCTTGTCCCTAACGTGTTTACTTACAATTGCATCATCAAGAAACTCTGCAAGGCTAGTAAGGTGGAAGATGCATACCAACTGCTGAATGAGATGGTTGATAGAGGGGCAAGTCCCGACTCTTGGAGCTACAATACCATTCTAGCTTTCCATTGTGATCACAATGAAGTTAATCAAGCTCTTAAACTAATTTCAAGAATGGATCGATGCGGTTGCCAACCAGATCGTCACACGTATAATATGATTCTTAAAATGCTCATTAGGGTGGGAAGGTTTGATAGTGCAAATAAGGTTTGGAATGGTATGGAAGAAAGGGGATACTACCCTTCAGTCTCAACATATGCTGTCATGGTCCATGGACTCTGTCGGAAGAAGGGAAAACTCGAGGAAGCTTGCAAATATTTTGAAATGATGATTGATGAAGGAATACCGCCTTATGCTTCAACCTGTGAGCAGTTGAGGAATAAACTTATTGGTTATGGCTTTGTAGAACAGACAGAGATACTTGCTGTTAAGATGGAGAGAAGCACTTCGTGTTCAATTCAAGAGCTAGCGAGCTTAATGAGGCGTAATAAGACTAGCGTCAAACACAGAGACGAAGAACACTCCGATGGTGATGACAGTGACTGATGCCCAATAGCAGTTTCATTTGCCCAATATATTGATGGGAGAAGAAACCGAATCTATTTTTATTTGTTCAGGGCTTATTAGTGATCATAATTGACGTGATCTTGAGCTCAACAGCTCGTTTTCTGGTGCACGTTGTATTGTTGTTACACTACCTGGCTCTTTGAGTGCATACAAATAATGAAATATGCGATGTCGTTTCTCCTTTAACTATAGCTTATATAGCTTCCATAATGTGAACATGAGTCCAAATTTGATATGCTAGATGGTACATTGCCAAGAGTTGTCTCTACACTATAGTAACTATACTATCCTGAAACTGTTTACAATATTCTCTTTTCACACTTTTTAAGGTGAAGTTAAACTTTTGAATTTTCCCAAAATACCCGTAATCAAAACCATAGGGGGTGGGGATGTTAATGAAAAGTAGGGGTATTTTAGTCTTTATGATGTGCACATGTCACGAAAGTAGAAATATTTTAATCAATTTTGGGATGGAGGGAGTATATAAAAATACCAGCTTATTTTGAGAGCTTGAAAAAGAAAGCTCCCCTCTATTGACATTGCCAGATTCTTGATTGCCGAGGAAATTGATTTCCAGCTTTGTAAGAAAACTGGGATAAATTTCTCAAGATATACACATTTTAGAAGGCAAACACAATGCCCGAACAGATATTATGTTTGTCTTTGCCTCTGATGTATAAATGATGTACAATTGTTGGGGCATCCCAATAATTTTCCAATCGGCTGAGATGTACGAAAAAACATTGAACAGAGAGAAGATGTCATGAATCAAAGAGAAAAATTACAACGCTGATATTTATATCTCAAGAAATTTGAGATAAGCAAGAAGTGAAAGAGCATTCATAGTTCAAACTCTTTAAGCAACTCCAAATAGGTCTTAAGAGGAATGAATCCATTGAAGCATTTTTACTCAGCTGCTAGTGTATCTTATAGGCAAACTAATTTCGTAGAGTAAACCATTGTGGAAGAGAGTGGTTGCTGGGGAAATTATATATTTGAGATTATATGTAAAACAAGGATGTTCTTCCTTGACGAAGGGAGTATATTTTTTCAAATAAATATCTTAATAACGTCGAAATTCCAATTTGGTTAATTATATTCTAAATATTTCATTAAAAATATTTTTGCATTCTGTTTATTTACATTATTATGAATTGATGACTATTATTCGATAAATATGTGTAGATTTGACACATATGTTAATTATATACACATATAATAAGATATTTTAAAAACTGAAAGCTTTTAAAACATGTATGTACTTGTATCCGTATCCCGAACGTTTAATATACAGTACATAATAAAGCATATTTTATAAAATCCCAACGTATTATACACGAACGAACGTATGAGATGCCACCGTATATTACGGAGTACTAACAAGGGTTTTAATTGGACCTTTGATGGAATTTCATTAAAAAATACGTAGTAAAAAACAAAGAAAATTTAATGTACCATTTTAACTTAATTCATTATTGCCTGGAGCTAAAACATTGTCAATTAACTCTTTCGGCTAAATGAAACATTAATTCAAAGTTCCAAGCTAATGCTTTACTATTGTATTTATTTATATGACATTGTAAGCACTCACTCGTTGGATGATCTAGGCTAGTGTATGAAAGCAAAATATAAACTTTTCAATAACTCTCTGGATACAATGAATTAAAAAACAATAAAAATAATAATTTGCACGCCTGAATAGTTACAAATTGAGAATTCTCCCTCTTTTAAAAAAAATTGCAAAAGAGGCAACATATCTACATAAAATAATTGTGGTAAATCAAGAATGGTATGCCCAGTGTGAATCATTAACCAGTTGCCCTGCTTTCTACAATTATCTAACTTGTATTGAATGCATTTGTAATGAAAGGGGAGGGAGAACAAAAAAAAAGTTGCTGCAAAGGGAACAGAAGCTGAGAAAACATTCCTCTGTTGTCTTCATAGTTTCAGAATCCAGCCTCTAAAGAAGGGAACTATGGTACCATGAAGCCAAAACCATTGACCTCGAAGCACTTTCAACTTCACTTCACTACCAACTGTGATCTCCAAAAGGCTTCTTGAGTGGCTAAGACACACCTCGGAGAACAGCACATGACAGGTCTCATGAGGACCAAGTTGGGCAACTAAGTTTGTACTTAGTGCAGCTGCTCTGTCTCCAATCACAGAGTTGGATATGCAGAGGGAAAGCTATTGAGAAGAGAAGTAGCATAAAGATCAGTTGAATAATTAAAGCAGCGCTTCTTCAATCATATACCCACAATAAATAATTTGATCATTTATCTATGTATTTTGTATTGCAGAGCTGGTCGTTGGCTCTGATATCATTAAAATGTTTGAATGCAAAATGTCTTGCAAATATAACAAAAGATTCATGTTTTGCAAACATATTTACTATGCACCCATTATTTCATTGCTTGTTGTGTTCACACACACACAAACACAAAAGACACTTGTCTTACCAGGTGGTCAGTGACTCTTAATGAACCCAAAGTCATATACAGATATTGCATTATTATACCCATATCCGTGCAATATGATTTTCATACAGGTGCATGCGTTTTGTGTGCATCGAGAAAGTTAAAAAAAATAGACATAGCATAAGCTGATGGATGCAAACAATTGTGTCCACATGAAATATACGTAGTAATCATTTTCTTGAAAATAGAGGGGGGGTACCTTACCACTACTGTTGTAGTTTCAGAACTTTCAAATTGCCATTTGACTTCTTGAGGAGAATAATAAATCGGTTGTATTTAGTGGCTATTTGTCCATTAGCCTGTAATGTATCCAGTATGCTCCAACAGCAAATAGATGAGGTAGTTTTAGGCTTCAGTTGAGCTCCACTGTTTGCAAAAAACAAGGCTGATAGGTTTAGATCCCTCTTTTCTTTGACAAAAATCACAAATTCACAATATAGATTGCATTTCTTTCAATTGATCTTCTGAAAAGGGAGGATCCCTTGTCTTGGCCAACCTGATGACATGCCGTGCTTTTTCAATCCCACTAAGTCCACCATTCACCCGTAACCCTTTAAGGAGAATAATAATACTATCAACACTCGGAAACCACTTTTTACTCATACTATCTTTGCACAATGAATATGCCAAGTCAAAGTTACCGGCTTTAGAGAGGTAATGAATCATGGTTTGATAAATTTGGTCATTCGGTTTCAGGCCATGGCCATGCATAGTAGAGTAGACCCTTATAGCCATGTCGAGAAAGCCAGCTCGGCATAATCCTTTGATTACCAAGTTATAAGTAATCTCATCAGCATTTATCCGAACTTTATGCATCAAACGTAACAATTTAATAGCATCCCAAGGTCGCACCCGTTTAACCAAATACTGTATCCTAACATTATATGTTGCAATGTTAGGAGTGCACCCCTTGAGAACCATAAGATTCCACAAGCCATTACTGATCTCTGCTCTATTAATTTTGTAAAAGAAAGATATAAGTGTAGTATATGTAACTACATCTGGATTAATTCCCTTCATTTCCATCTGAACCATTAGCAGATAAGCTTTATCTGGAATACCCAATTCACAAAATGCCTTGACAATAATGTTCAATGAAAAAATATCTAAACGAATATCAAATTTGAGTGATACATCTCTCAGAAATTTCTCAATGGCCTCTGAGTCACGGGATAGAGTCAAAACCTTGAGAGCAGCATTGAGAGACTTGACAGTCCTTTGGCAACCATATAAATGCATATCATAAAAAGTATTAATAGCATGCTTCACCATTCCAGCACTCCCATACAGCATTATAATACGAACCATAAAACCTTCACGTCTACCTTGTGGTAAAGCCTTCTGTTCCTCAAGCAAAGTTTGAATGTAATCGAACCTGCCAGCTCCTGCTAAGCGAGAAACTGCAACTATAAACGCAAACCGATTCTCAATCACAAGCTTATTCTGTGCATTTTCCCTGAACAAATTAAACAGCTTATGAGGATCCCTTTCCTTTTTCAGCTTTATAAGGGCAGGTTCATCCACCTTTATGGGATTTATCTTGGAGATCGATCTTTTATCAGTAGCAATGAGGGATTTCTCTTTCGATGCAACAGTAGCAGCTGCGGGAACTCGAGGTGCAGTACCAAATCTGCGAACCAGTCGCAGAGATTGCATATTCAGAGACTACCCTCTCTTTCAATAGGGCCCAAGGGCCAAGATCATAAATTCGCTTACCCTTCAATTAAAATCATCTGTATCCATTACAGAATGAAGCAGAAGAATAGAATTAACGAATGCATCATGAAGCACGGACACACTAATAGGGAAAGCCTCGGAAGCGTACGGGACGCTTCATGCGCAGTACGATTGACCGAAGACGGCCAGGTTACGGCAGAGAGAAACGCCAGGCGGAGGAATAGTTGGAAGAGGTGGGCGGTTATGAATCCGGTGATGGGGGGTTGTTGTGCCGGTGATGGGCGGTTATGAATCCGAGTTGATGGAGGCCGGGGGAGGGAAGCCCCACTCTTGCCTCGACAGACGACAGGCAACAATGAAGAATGCCCGGGGTCTGATAGTCGGATCTCTTTGCCGGCGCCTGTTTTCACATCTTTTGGAATTAGGGTTCCCTATTTTTATTATTATAAATTTTAAATTTACTTTATTTAAATATTTATGTAAAATTTAAAAATAAAGTTTTATACACACACACATATATTCAAAATTTATAAAACTATAAATAACATGAGTATTTTATTATAACAAACTATTAGTTTAAGTAAAGTTTGGGGGTTTCAAAGAGGTGCATATTGTTTATTATGTTATGTGTTACCACTTTTCGATATTAGGATCTTGCTAACAATATATTCAGAGAGACCATTATTCCTTTTAGAGGTCCGTCAAGGAGATTCTCTTAGCCCATATCTAAAATCTTATGCATCAAGCTACTATCTTTACTTGTATAAGATGCAGAGAGGCGTAGAACGGTGCATGACATTTGAGTTTCTCGGGGTGGTTAGCTCCTTCCATTTCCCATTTATTGTTTGCAGTGATAACCTTTTATTCTTGAAGGCCATCATAGGGAAGCTAGCAAAGGTATTGTGGTGTCTTTAGGAGTATGAACAACTCTCAACGCAAGTGATTAATTTTGGTAAGTCAAATGTCTACTCTAGTATCAATACCTCTATTGCAAATCATGAGTGGATAAAAATTTTCTTTGGTGTACAACACACAGTGGGCTTTGATAAGTATCTTGCCCTACAATCCTTTTTGGGGAGGAATAAAATAATAGTTTTTGCACTCGTCTAAGAGAAAAGAATAGACACGGGTTTACCTCTTGGAATGAGAAGCTTCTTTCTAAAGCATTGAAGGAGGTGTTGTTGTAGAATGTGGCTCGGGCAATGTCTCAGTATGCTATGAGCATCTTTCTCTTTCCTAATAGTCACTATTCTTCAATTGAGAAAATGATGAATTTGTTCTGCTGGGGCGAGGAAAGGCGATAGCACAAAAAAAGTTTGGAGATCTTAGATTCAGGAATATCACTACCTTCAATGTGGTTGTGCTTGGAAAACAAGGGTGGCAATTCTTGACCAAACCAGATGCTCTAGTATCTTAGGTCTCAATAACCAGGTATTTTCCAGACTCATCCTTTTTAGAAGCTCCCCTTTGGGGTACTCCTAGTTATTGTTAGAGGAGTATCCTCGCGGCTCGATCAAGATCTCATTCGAGAGGGTGCCCATCGATGCATTGGTAATGGACGTGATAAGTTGACTTAGGGGATGTCGTAGTTGCTTGACATGGCTAACCCTTTTGTGGAAACAATGGTGCCATGGCAAAATCATAACCCACCAGTTTGTGCTTGGTTAGATACCGATATATAGACCTGAGATGTTGAATGGATTCGCAGGGTTTTAAATAGCATGATGTCGATTAAATTTGTAGAGCCCCTTACAATCTTCTTTAGCAATGTGTAGGGTACATCTAGAAACATTGGCAGTGCTCCTTGTCTAGCCAACTTGTCTTTTTCCATATGTGGTAGATTGTATTAGTTCCCTCCTTCATCATTCGTGACTTTTTGCATCACATTTTGGTAGCTTAACTATACCTTGTTTAAAGTCTCTACTGTTAGGAATTCATATGCACCCTAACTACTTCTAGTTGGTGTGACATATTTTTAGGATCACACTACTCTTTTAGTGATTGAATGGTTATAAAAAAACTCCAAGTATAGGATGTTAAGGTTTGGAGAGTTGGGGGGTTGGTTATCTAGGGTTATGTTGAATCCATTTGCAGTTGCTGCTTCCATAAAATATGGTTTTGTGGCAAAAATTTGAGGCATGGCATTATCTTGCTAGAGCACAATGTTTTTGTCTAAATTGGAAGGCCATTTCTCTTGACTTGCAGGGATGACTTGGGTGACCAACATTTGTTTAGTCACTTCTTTGGTAACATTAAGAAGTTTCATCACCTCTAAAACACTTGCCTCTCTGTTCATATTCTTTCTTTTAGCTGCCACAGTTTCAAAAAATGGAAATATTCCAAATTTTCCATCCCACAAAATCTACCCATTTTTTGATATTAAGGGTCAACGAATCACACATAGAAACATGACCTTAATAATGAAACGCTTCGAATTGTATGTTCTATAAGGATCCATTTCATTCTGAGTCGAATAATATTTCTCTGATGTCTTGGGCATAAAGAACCATTTCTCATCCATGTGAAGAACTTATGAAAAGTTCTAAACCTGAGGATATATGGGATGGTAATGGGTTCTATCTCATTTAAACAAAATTGTAATCTTTGCAACTTGTTTGCATCAGTTAAGAATGGTTTAATTGCATTCAAATGACTTCTTAGCAAACCTCTTTTAATATAATGATGCACATTGGATTTTGTAATACCTAGGCAACAACCATGGCCTTGATGGTTGTCCTTTGGGCTAGAGGAATATTTAGGGTGGACTCTATGTCTATCTGTTAAATATATATTCTATATTTAGTGTAAATATATTATTTCCTATTATTGTCTCCTACCTTGTATAGGATTAGGACTCCTTGTGTATATTTAGACATGTACTCCCACATATTCAATCAAGGAAATTAACCATTCTACATGGTATCGGAGCCTAAAAATCAAAAACCCTAACCCTACCCTCTCTTTCTCGTTCGGCCCCTCCCTCTCGCCGTCTCTCTCGGCAGCGCCGGCCCCTCCCTCGGGGGCCCTCTCTCCCGGCGACACCAACCCCCCTCGACGGTCATCTCTTCCCCTCTCACCATGGCCGAAAACAGCGAGGTCACTTCCCAAAATATCTCCTCCAAACCCCCTCATCTTGCATTCACAACAGTCTCTAATGTGAAACTTCATGTCCCCGTCCAACTCAGTCTCTCTCAACCCAACTACAAAAAGTGGAGCAGACTTTTTCTCCTTCTGGTTCGGCGGTTCAACCTCCAGGGCTACATCAATGGCTCCATCGTCCCCCTCTCTGATGACGACGACAAATGGTTCCAACTCGACACTCTCCTCCAGGGTTGGATTCTCTCCACCATCACCGATGAGGTATCAGATCTGGTCATCTCCTCTGTTTCTACTGCTTCTGCTCTCTGAAAGGTTATCCATGACTTGTTCCACGACAACAAATATGCCCGAGCCATGCAGTTGGAGCATGAATTTTGTACAACGACCAAGGGCAACTCCACCATGGTGGCTTATTGTCAACATCTGCAGAACCTTGCCGACTGGCTGGATGATGTCGATGCACCAGTCTCCCAACACCAACTCGTCCTTCAAATACTTCGTGGTCTCCGTGCAGACCTTCAGGCACAAACATGATTCATGCAATTTTAGGATCCCATGCCCACGTTTCTGCAGGTTCGCTCTGCCCTCATGTTACTGGATCGACAACGGACGAGTCGCTCTGACTCGGGCACCACGGCTCTTCTCATGACCCGAGCCGGCGGCAATCACGGCGGTATTCCCGGCAGCTATGGCGGACAGCATGGCGGCACAGGCTATGGGGACGGCAACTCCAGTCAACGTGGAGGTTATGGACGAGGCCAAGGTCGTGGCGGTGGAAATCGAGGCTGAGGTCGCAGATGTCAAAACGGCTCACGACCGCGGCAATCCTACGACGGCAACAATACCTGGAACTCAACGTACCCTAACCCTAACTCGGGTCTTTTAGGCCCCCACCCTACCCACCCCTACCCTTCCCAC